GGCCATATCTCCCAATTATCCTAAATCCCTTTGTCCCTCTTTTCTATCCAAATAATCGTATTTTCTAAAAGCTCTACTAGTACGGTGTGTATAACAAAGATTCTGAAATGTGTTTATAAACAAATGGATGTTTATTACATGGTTAGTCAATAATACATGGAACTTCAAAATGCATTTACAATTGCAGGCTAAAATAACTAAATTGGAAGTATTCTTCAAGTTAGCAATGTTTTCAGTTCAGCTAGGGCTCCTAATTGTCCCACTTTCAGAGTATCATACCTGTTTCTGGAGCCAGGTGTCCTATGACGGTCCTGAGCAGTGGCGTACTAAGGGGGGGGGGGCGGTCCGCCCTGAGTGCCAGCAGGGTGGGGGGTGCCTTGGGAGGGGGCACTGCCCCCCCTCCTGCAGCAGCCGCCCGAGCGCAGCATGGGGAGAGGGGCTGACAGGAGGGAAGCGCCGCGCCCTGTCATCTTACAGGTGGTCGGCTCGGGAGACATGGTACAGGGAGTATTCGGTTCCGTACCCCGGCCGACTAACACTCGAAAGTGTGCACTTCTCCCAGCAACCCGGCCCGGCACCGGAAACAAAAGCCCCCGTAACCGGACTACACTGGCCTCCGGCCACGCTTGCCAAATGAGGTGGTGGGGTGGGGTGGAATAAAGGAGAGGTGGGGGTGTGGAATAAGGAGGTGTGGGGAAGTGGAATAAGGAGGTGTGGGGTGCAGTTCAAGGGAGGAGGTGCGGGGGGTGGAATAAGGAGAGGTGGGGTGGAATTGCTGAGAGGGGTGGAATAAGGAGAGGGGGTGGGAAGCTGAAGAAGAGGTGTGGAGGGGGGAGCAACGAGAGGTGTGGGGGTGGAATAAGTAGGGTGTGGGGGTGGAATAAGGAGAGAGATGGGGGAATAAGGAGAGATGGGGTAATAAGGAGAGATGGGGGGAATAAGGAGAGATGGGGGTAATAAGGAGAGATGGGGGGTGGAATAAGGATAGATGGGGGTAATAAGGAGAGATTGTGGGGGGATAAGGAGAGATTGGGAGGGGGGAAGGAAATTGGCGAGGGGGGATAAAGAAAGAAATTGGGAGGGGGAGAAGGAAATTGGAGGGGGGGATAAAGAATGATTGGGAGAGGGGGATAAAGAAAAATTGGGAGGGGGGAGAGAGAAGGAAATTGGAGGGGGGGAGAGATTGACATTCATCACACAGAAAAACACACAATGCATTACACACACTGCATTACACACACAGACACACATACACAAGCAATGCAACCGTTATACACAATGCATTCATTACACACACTCAAGGCACCCCTTACACACATTCAATGCATCCCATACATACACAGAAACACACCTTGCAGCCCTTACACATACAAACACAGATTCACACAATGCATTCCTTACACACATATCAGGACATCCCCTACACACTCCACCCCCTGTGAACAAACCCATTGGTGGAACATGAAGGTGGACCCAGGGACCCAGACCTTGAGCTGTGTAAAGGGCCCCCAAAAAATGGAGCTGCTTCCCGTTCTCCCAGAACATTGATTTTTGTGACCACAGTTACAAACCGCCTCCAGAGAGTCTGTTCTACACCAGACCAGTGGAGCCGGACTGCAGCTAGAGCCCGTCATCATCCTCATCTGGTTGTAAGTAGGCAATCTAGTATATTATTCGTGGCACTAATCTCTAATTTACCTCACATTAAAGAAACACTATAGTCCCCAGAACCACTGCAGCTTAATGTAGTGGTTCTGGTGTCTATAGCCTGTCCCTGCAGTCCTTTTAATGTAAACACGGCGGCACTGCAGCACTGGCGTTAGACAACATGGCAAATCATATGGGTGGAGCATTGTGATGTCACATGGGGGGGCGGCAAACTTTACTTTTGCCTAGGGCGGCAAAAATCCTTGCCCTGGCTGGAGGGGGCTGTGTGAGCTGTGGCTGCACAGTGCCCCATGGTAGTTAGGATGCCGTGCAGCCAGTACAGCTCACACAAGCAAACAGCTGATAAACTGTCTGCACAGAGGAAAAGTGGGGCGGAGCTAAGCAAAATCAGAGGCGGGGCCAAACTGGCGCTGTGGATGGGGCTTGGGGGCAAGGGGGTGCCAAGCACAAGACACGCCCCGGCAGGGCCGGTGCAAGGATTTTTGCCGCCCTAGGCAAAAGTAAAGTTTGACGCCCCCCTCCTCCCCCCCGTGACATCGCAATGGCCCACCCATATGACCTGCCATGTTAACTAACGCTAGTGCTGCAGTGCCGCTGTGTTTACATTAAAAGGCCTGCAGGGACAGGCTATAGACACCAGGACCACTACATTAAGGTGCAGTGGTTCTGGGGACTATAGTGTTTCTTTAGTGTGAGGTAAATTAGAGATTAGTGCCACGAATAATATACTAGATTACCTACTTACAAGCAGATGAGGATGATGATGGGCTCTAGCTGCAGTCTGGCTCCACTGGTCTGGTGTAGAACAGGCTCTCTGGAGGCTGTTTGTAACCGTGGTCACAAAAATCAATGTTCTGGGAGAACGGTAAGCAGCTCCATTTTTTGGGGGCCCTTTACACAGCTCAAGGTCTGGGTCCCAGGGTCCACCTTCATTTTCCACCAATGAGTTTGTTCACAGGGGATGGAGGGTGTAGGGAATGTCCTGATTTGTGTGTAAGGAATGCATTTTGTGAATCTGTGTTTGTATGTGTAAGGGCTGCAAGGTGTGTTTCTGTGTATGTAAGGGATGAAGTGTGTGAGTCTGTAAGGGGTGCATTGAGTGTGTGTAAGGAATGCATTGTGTGTTTTTGTGTGTGCAAGGGATGCATTGTGTGTAAGGGTTGCATTGCGTGTGTGTGTGTAATGCATTGTGTGT